ACCATGTGGGTTCCACCTGCGCCACTGTCTGTAAGTACTCACTCCATTCGTTTGTTATTTAGAAAAGGCTTTGAGGGGAAACTTGAAATGCAGCCGGAGGAGAGCAGCACGTCAGACTTCCTACGCTGTAGTCTGATTGTTTTGTTGTTAGTAATAGACTGAAGCTATGTCAAGCCTGAGTGGTAATAGCTGTTGCAGGAAGTTATCTTCAGCAACTCGTCACTGCTGTCATGCTATTTATCATGTGCTCATGACGAGATAAGTCCTGTCAGCATGGGAGAGTCTGCGTTCCTTATCTTCCATTAAAGATCCTGGCATGGTTTGTCAAAAATTCCTCAAGTCCATCATTCCGTTTTCAATGGAAACCCCTCTTTGGATTGGCAGACTGAGGTTGTGGTAGTGGGGTGGATGAGACTCCCTCACCTTGCTATCAGAAATGAACACGTATTGGAACATGGCAGGCTGGGAACTGGGTTAGGGGAGCGGGGTCCTCCCAACAATGGTTAGCATCAAGTCAAACAAAAACAAAAACAAAAAAACAACTCTACCAAGACCCCAAACCTGAAGATGGTCTTGAGGCTCATGACCCACAACCTCAAATTCATTGTGAGGAAATACCATTTTGGTTTCATAGTGAATTGTTTCACCTAAGCCATTCATTCTATTCCTGCTGAGATCCTTCCAGTTCCTGTATTCTGTGAGTCTGATCTTGACATTTCAGCATTGAAGAAAATGGTCATTCTCCAGGACCTTAGCTGTTAGTCTGTTATTGGGGTGTAAAAATGCAACTGATTTCTTAGTATTAATTTTATATTCTGCTACTTTAAATTGAGATTCATCTATCAGTTCTAATAGTTTTTCAGTGGAATCTTTGGGGTTCTCTACCAGGGGTGCCAAAAAAATGTGTACACATGACTTGTATTCATCTTTTGTTACCGGTATATATTGAGTATTACAATTTTAATACAGTTTTTTCCTTTCTTAAAATGTGTATACATTTTTTTGGCACCCTCTGTATATACAGTATCATGTCATCTGCAAATAATAACAGTTTTACTTTTTCCTTTCCAATTTGGATGTTTCTTATTCCTTTTTCTTGTCTGATTGCTGTGGCTAGGACTTCCAGTACTAGGTGGAATAAAAGTGGTGAAAGTGGACACTTTGTTTTTCTCCTGATCTTAAGGGGAATGATTTTAGCCTTTCCCCATTGAGTGTGATATTAGCTGTGGGTTTGTCATATATGGCCTTTATTGTGTTGCGATATGTTCCCTCTATTCCCACTGTGCTGAAAGTTTTTATCATAAATGGATACTGGATTTTGTCAAATGCTTTTTTCTGCATCTATTGATAGGACCATATGATTTTTATTTTTAAATTTTTTTTATGTGATGTATCACATTAATTAATTGTTGTATGTTGAAACAACCTGACATATCAGGAATGAATCCGACTCAATCATTGTGTATGATCTTTTTGATGTATTGCTGACTGTCAGACTGTACTAATTTCAGGCCAACTGCCTCTAGCAACCCTTTCCTTTCCTCTTACTAATTTTGATCTTCTAAGGCAGTGGTTCTCAACCTTCCTAGTGCCACGACCCCTTAATACAGTTCCTCATGTTGTGGTGACCCCCAACCATAAAATTATTTTCGTTGCTACTCTATAACTGTCATTTTGCTACTGTTNCTAAGACCATCGGAAAACAAAAAGATATTTACATTACGATTCATAACAGTAGCAAAATTACAGTTATAGAGTAGCAACGAAAATAATTTTATGGTTGGGTGTCACCACAACATGAGGAACTGTATTAAAGGGTCACGGCGTTAGGAAGGTTGAGAACCACTGTCCTAAGAGAATGCTAATATTTTAAAAACCATTCTAATCTTAGATGTACAAATCCATGCCTCTTCCTTATACCCTGGCCATTCCAGCTTGTCCTGGGGTGTTGCTGGGTGGGTGGAAGGGCTCCTGGTGGCAACTCAGAAGAGACCAGTCAGCACTGTTATTGTCATAGGCAAGATCCCGTGGTAAGAATTAAACTCCAGCAGTTTACACTTAGATATGTAAATAGGAACCTCAGCTCCTTGATGCCATGGAAAGAGAATGAAATTAGGACACCTGGGTTCTGAGTTCCTGCTGTTTAAGAATCATCCCCACAATAATCCCAACTGTGTGTCAGATACTTTCCCATATTTATTCTTCTGACCTAGGGAGTGAATTTTATTATCTGAAATGGGACAGCTGAAGCTCAGAGACAATCTCAAGAGCTTATGGTTAAGAGTTAGGATCTTACCTCACCTTGCAATGTCAAATCCGAATAGTTCTCTTTCACCATTCCACAGCTGTCCTGATGTTTTGTTCTTAATGTACTTATTTACTTGCATAGCAATCCCACACAAGCCATTGGAGGTGGGGTGGGGGGTGGAGGGAGTGGGGGGGTCACATGACTGTGGGAAAGGAGCTCTGATCCAAATGTGGGAACTGAGGGCATCAAAGCTAGGCCAGATATTCCACAATCGGGGTGGTTTCACACACACACCAGATACCTCAGGGAGCTATACGGTGAAGTAACATTGAAGACAATATTTCTAAGCACCTGTCAAATAATCAAGAGATTCTAGCCACAACAATAGATTATTTGGCAGTGCTTGGCCATTAAGATCTGAACCAAGAGAATGAGTTGACACCAGAATAAATGGAGTCATTTTCATTATTAATTGGTATTCAGTTTAATTATCTAGAATACCGATTCATTACATCTCATTGTCAAATAGGATATTAATTATTTATGACAACTGTTAGTGATACAATACAAGGTCAACTCTTAAAGGAGTCCTGCCAGTTTTCCTTCTCAGCTGTGGCAGATCTAACACCCCGACTTTCCACGTCTGCACCCACCCCTCAAAATATACACACCTGGACCAGGTTCTTACGGGCATCAAGCAGTGACCTGCCCGTTGCCAATACTTTCTGCCCCTCCTCTGGGCGGAGGGCCCTCTATCTATGTTTTCTTGGCCAGTGGGTTACTGTTTCTGCTTGGGCCACCCCCCACAGGAGAGGGAGCCAGTAGCGATCCTTGCTCCGAAGTGTACCATGGACGCCATGCCAATTCAGAAGTGGAGGTGAAATCGGTGGTAGATTTCATTCAAGAACATGGGAATTTCAAATGCTTCATTGATCTGCATAGCTATTCGCAGCTGCTGATGTATCCCTACGGGTACACAAAGAAAAAGGCCCCAGATGCTGATGAGCTGGTGAGTGACGGGCTGCCTCCCACCCAGCCCCAGGCCTGCTGTACCCTCCGGCACTGCCAAGGTGGTGGTTCTGCTGCTTTATAGGGCAAGTCCAGGAGCCTGGACTTGTTTCATTAAGGGCCCAGTCTTCTCTCCCTACCCTTTGGGATGTGCCATCAGACCTACTGGGGACAGGAAGGAGTTGGTGCCTGTATTTCTGTATTTGCTGTGAGTTCCAAGAACTACACCTGACCCCTGCCTTTCTCCTTCTCACTTGTTTATCTGACCAGAATGTATTGCAGACCTACTGCTTGCCAAGAGCTGGGGGTGGCATTTTGTTGGGCAAGGAAATGCACCGCTCACTCCAGTTAAGGTAGAGCTTAAGTAGCATGTAGGCCACAGCCAAGGAATGCTCTGTGTCACATATAGTGACTCACTCCAGGATGTGAATAGGTACTGAGGGTGGATTGACTGGAGCTGGGCTGGCATCTGTGGAGTGACTGTAGGCCTCTCTCTCATGGTCAGCTTGACAGTATCTCCCTACCTAGGGCCACAGCTAGCCCATAAACCCCCCAGCAGATGCAGGACTCATGGCTAAGCATGGACTAGATTCTAGTCTCAGAAGGTGCTCTGCACAGCACACATCCATATATGGCAGCCCTGTCTCCACCTCCATTCTGGGAACACCCAGCTCCAGGTTTCCTCTTGAACATACT